TACCTGATATACGGTTTATACCTGATATACTTACCCTTATAATTTCCTATCATCTACCCATCATTTTTCCCTACAACAATATTTAAATTAATAAAATATACAAAATATCATATATGATTTATTTTAGCTATAAGTAAAATAACTTAATTTCTACTTTATTTTTCTACTATATTGGTAAATATCAAATTGCTATTGGAATTATCAGTTAAAATATTTATTATCTTATAAATTTAATAAATAAATATATATATATATAATATATAATAAATAATTTTTATTTGATAAATATAAAATAAAACTTGGTTTTGTTTGAATTATAAAGTTTTTCAAACATGTTAAAAATGTTTTTTTTTTATATTTTTATCAGAATATGCACTTTAAATTTATACAAAATTGATAATTATTGCTTGTATTTTCCAATTTTTATTGATAAAATATATAATTGTAGCTAAAAAACTTTTATTGATACTAATATTCTAATGTTAAGAGTAAATGAGATTTGGTTTTTTGTTTTTTATAACAATTTTTATATTTTTTTTTATTGGCCAAATAGAGTTTTATTATATTTGTTTTAATAGTAATAAAAAAAAATAATTTTATATTTTCTGATAAAATTTTTACAAAATTTTGAAAAGTTAATTTCTGTATGATTGTAAAAAATGTTGTTTAACAATCTATTAAATTAATTTTTTTTAATTTTTTTTAAATTATATATTCATTATATATTAAATAAATTTTATTTTCTTTGTTTTATTAAAATAATTTTTAATACTAGATTTATTAATATTTCAATTTAGTTTTGTTATATAATATCTTTTAAAATATTTATATATATTAATAGTATTGTCTTCACTACAAATATATATCACTTTGCAATAGCTACAAATAGCTTTTTTAGTATTTTTAAAATTCAAATCTTTTATAAAATAGTTTTACACTTTGCTTTAGTTTGTTATTATAAAAGATAATACTGTTTCTAACAAATTATTTATAATAATATTACCGATATTGCTGTTTTTATAACTAGTTAAGCAGCTAGTTTTATTGTTAATATATTGAAAATTATAATTATCAGAAGAAATTTTATGTTTTATTTTAAAAAAAATTATTAAAAAATTATTAAAAAAAAGTTAAACAGCAATTATTAGAATAAAAAAAATATTAACATAAAATAAGTTTTATTGAAATATAAAGGAAACATGAAATAACAAAAGTAAAATTGTTAAAAAATTTTTTATTTATAATGTTACATTGTAAAAATAATAATAAAACAAAATCAAGTTATAAAGATTTTTGATTTCAGTTTAAAATTTTAATTCTTATCTATAGATTATAAGAATTATAAACAAATTTATAAAACTTATTAATATATATGTTATAATTGATTAAATATTTAATTATAATATAATATGTATATTATATTTTTTTAAAGATTATTAAATAATTTTAGAATGTAATCTAACAAAATAAATAAAAAAAAAAAAGAAGTTTTTTTATAAATAACATCAATAATATATTTGAAAACTTTAATTTATTTATTTATATTAATTATTTAATTATAATAGGTTATAATGAAATATAATAGAACATATTTAATATAAAAATAAGTTGATTCATTGCATGTGATAAATTAATATAAATATAGTGATATGGCATAATTAAAAATAGACATCTATTTCTAATTTGTGAAAACCATGTGTTTGTTTATAAGTATATATGGTATATACACAAACCTTTGTATTTTATGGTTTTTTATTTTTGATTAAGTGAATATTATATACATGTATATACGACTGTACATATTTGACCGTGAATACTAATTACATTTATTATTTCTTTATAATTTATTAAAACATTCATTCATTTAATTTAATATGAAATAACCCAATTTTGTATCTTTTTACTTTTTCAAGATGATAACGATACACCGTGTTGAGAATACGAGGATATTACTCGTCTCACTATTAAAAATAATATATGCACAAATATTTAATTTAAATAATAAACCATATTACCATCGAATATTCGAATGATGATTTTCGTGATTTATCAGAGAATCTGTTTTATTATTGCATACGATACATACGATACATGACCGCATTATTTAATTATGAAGATCATTTATTAACATTTAAAAATTCAATTAATAATAAATTGTTTTCTAATAGACATTTGCGATGTGTTTGTTATTCTCGACATAATTATGTTAGAAGCATGCATGTTATATTTATGTTCTTTTTGTTTTTTTATGTTTCTTTCGATCAGGTTTTATTACCGTTAACACATCGGACCAGTTTTTTTATTATACAATCCGAGGGGGTCAAAAACGTTTCGAAACAGGTGCAGTTTCAAAAGTTTCAAAATATACACTTGATAGGGTTTAATCTAAAGCGATTAATGAAAAGTCCAATAATTAGATATTAGATCCTAATTTCCAAAATTTCATTGTAAGTTGATTTCAATGAATGATTGAAGATTATAATAAACCCGATCAACCAATAACAACCGACCAACACCGTCACACTGCCGGAAAAATGTTATCATGCACCCGTGAAGGTCTGTCATGACCATATATGACATCCCGAATTTCATTTGTCGCATAATCATTACGTAGAGTCCACTGATGGCATTAGCCAAATGAATAATTGATATTCTTTCAAAATATGACCGTTTATGGGAAATCTTTCCCACTGGCAAAGAAATTACGTAAGAAGCTGATCGGGAGTGCTAAATTTACCCATAAGCTCTTGCACGAATATTTTTGAATTTTTTTTTTTTCTACGGTCGTGATTGCATCCACATGTGCTCTTTAAAACATCTGCCGGTGAAGCGAAAATCACGCAATCACACATGCATTGTTCCAAACTAGTAGTTTTCAATCAGAAAATCATCTGCAGCCCGAACAAGATGGGTATGAAAGAAAATTTTGACAAATAGAGTGTTTGTGTAAAAAAGATTCGACGGGAAAATGCACATAATTGTATCCCGGACATGGCTGCGTTAGAAAGACGACCCTTTGGAAATAATTCAACAATAGATGCAACGATGGAATGATATAATGATACCAAAAGAGGTAATCACTATCAAAAAAGAGGGGACGGTCACCCGCTTGATGTCAACGATTTTATCGTCGCTCACTTTTGAGATGTTCGTGCTCATACTATACGATTATACCTTTATTATCGATTAGCCCACGATGCAATCTCTGTGTGTATGCGCACTCGAATTCTTTTTGAAAAAAAAAAAAAAAAGTTAAGACCGAATTAAACACCCACATCACAGTGTACCTATTTTTGAAACAAATGTGTACGAGTATATTTTCTCCACAAGTTTTTTTTTGTATTTCGTTTCGTAATGAGCATCACACAAAATAGCAACTGTACGAATTACGTATTACCACACTCATCTGTGCTACGCTTCGGAGGATTATTTCTTTCCGATAGATTTAGGTTTAACGCTTATTATTTCACTACGTTTATGTATTTTGGTGTAACTCGTAACACATTCGGCTTCCATTTCCGTGAAACATAGATCGAAATGTGAATGATAATGAATGATCATCAATGGTGCTTTTTAAACTTTTTGAAGTCTGGCACACACTATTTTGGTTGTGATCATTGTAGCCGCCGCTCATATCTGATAACTTTGTTCCCGGAGTAAAACTATTTTTACCGGAAACAAGATTAATACACGCCAAGCCTTTTCATTGATAAACTTGTTTTCATGTACGTGAAGTGACCACTTGACCAGCCTTTTCATTCACATATCAATTTATACCGTATTTGTACCTGACGCATTGACTTGTTCAAACGGATGGTGGCACAATCCTTATCTATAACGTGCGTGATATTTTCCAATAAAAATCGCGTAACATTAAGAAAATTCCACGGAAAACAAAACCAGTTTCGGAAGAACTTTTTGAGAATTGAAGCGATAACCGAAATTAGGGTTGACAAAATTCGACACCACGCGTGAATTCGAACGAGAAGCAAAATCCTTTTTCACGAATAAAGATTTCACGTGTGGTTTGTTTATTTATTATTATTTTTTTAAATCAAAGAAACCTTAAATTCCAAGACGATTAGTGCAATTCGACATACATGAACGAATTTACCAAATAATTTGAAGATTTAACTTTAAATGATTTAACTTTTAATACAATAGTAACAATGCGATCACTGGTAAATGCATTACACCAATTTCGGCATTCGCTTATTTCCAATCTCACTCTATTAAGAATTTTGCGTGATATACGCAAGTAATTGATCTGGTTCATTACATATAGGGTGTCATGGTAGCAGGCATTCAATCTTTTCTCAACATTCGTCTTATGGTGAATTCGAATTTGAATAAATCAATTCTCGTTCCCTTTCAGAAGAAAAAAAAAAAAAAACTAGCTCAAATGATAATAGTAATATTACAAAATCAAAAGAAAAATTGTGGTAAAGAAAAAACATACAATTCTTTTTTAAAAAAGATTTTTTTTTGGAATTTTTCATCGTCGGAATACATACCAAATAAGATACTCAATTTTTATCCTATTTGTGATATAAAAATTTCAATTCTACAAAAAAAAAAAAATTAAAGAAAAAAATACATATATATATATCGATCGATACGTTCGCTAGTAACAATGTGTTAAACGAAAGCAAGTGAAAAAACTTTTTTTTGTGGCAACCGGGTGAAAAGTGAAAGAAAGTCCAAATGTTCTTTGAAAAAAAAAAAAAAGTAATACAAGAAAAAACGAATCCAATGTCCAACAAGTAAACTAGGGAACAAAAACTGATTAATGATTGAATGCGTGTACATGCGCCTCATTCGAGTTTGTCTATTTTTTTGACATGAAGAAAAAAAAAAAAAAGAAGCGAGAGAAACTATCAAAGTTCAATATATCCCATTTTGGTCAGACAATTGCCTATTGACGACGCTCAAGGTATTCCTTTTTCTCTTATCTTTTATGCATCCATCGTCCACAGATGAAGGCGTATTTGAACTCCCAAACACGCTTGATTGTTTGCCGTTAGGGGTCGGCGGTCCACCGCTGCCGCTGGTAGAACCTGATGACGACAAAGATGTTGCCGAGTTTTGAAATTGTGATGATAGATGAATGGATGAAGATGCGTGCCTTTGAGGTTGAGGGGCTCTTGGCATATGAAGCTGTTGCTGCATTATAGTTGTCTCGGATTGATTTTTGCGATGCTCTGGCCTACCGGCAGGTGGCTTTCCTGCAGTGAACGACTGACTTTTTCTTGTCCGGCCAGAGTTTGATTCCGTCATGCTTATGCGCCTCGATGTTTCAATCTGACTTGTACGCTTGTGCCGACCTGGAGAACTGACGCCGTCATTTAGATCAACAAAACGCCTTGCATTCACCGATTTGTATTCTTGTTGAATATGTAGTAAGGTCGGTGTCATGGGGCGTACTGGTGTTATCTCTTCGCCGGCAACTGGTAACGGATTCACTCGATACTTATGATACTGAGCCGCAATATTCTCCTCTTGATACTTATGATACTCTGCTATCTTCATGGACTTTTTTTCTTTTTCAGTTATTGGAGTCGCACCAGATGAAATGGCGCAGTCACTAGCTCTTCTTGTTGAGGTGATGTTTCTTGTGAAAGGATCTGAACGAGGGACCGTTAGATTCAAACTTAAGTTACGCACACGACTGACGGGTCTGACGGTGGTACTCGAAGGTTTTGGGTTTCGAGGTTCGTGATCGTTGTAATAATTCTCCTCGTAATAATCTAATTCGCCATTCCAGCTTTGGGGGACAACATTATAACATTGACTTTTGCCCAAATATTGACTATATTGACTCGCACGACGATTACCATGCGTCCGAATGCCATCATCGCAGCTGGCCGAAGATTCCGAGGAATTCGATGAACTAAATTTGCGTTCACGAGGATATTGACGCGACCCTCTTGACCCGCTTCGACTATTAGAAACCAGAGGCGGTGTTGTGGCCATCGGGGAAGGTGTGGAACGTGATGATGAAGTCACGGATACATTCAGAGGCTCTGGCAAATACTTCGACTTTGATGGACGGATCAACCCAGGAGATAGATCACCATTGGGTAGCGAACCCCTGCGGAACCGATCTTTTTGAAATCCTAACGGCAGATTATCATCGTCATCATCATCAGCTTGAGCCGAACGGCGACGATTGTGTGTTGCCCTACCATCGCCTTCTGACTCCTGGTCAAAATAACCGTACTTGAGAGGTTTTTTTTGGATGGAGGCAAAGTGATGGGAATTATTGCCAACAGTCATTACCCCCAAACCAGAATCACGGTCGAAACTCTTTTTCTTTTTAAACTTCGTGTCTTTATTATCCTCTTCTCTGT